TACTTATTAATTTATTTCAGTAGTTACTATTAAACTTACATTATCTTAACCATCTTGTAGCAGCTACTTATAATTTATTTCAGTAGTTCATAAACTTACATTATCTTAACCATCTTGTAGCAGCTACTTATAATTTATTTCAGTAGTTCATAAACTTACATTATCTTAACCATCTTGTAGCAGCTACTTATAATTTATTTCAGTAGTTCATAAACTTACATTATGTTAACCATCTTGTAGCAGCTACTTATAATTTATTTCAGTTGGTCTTGATTTTATGAAAACACACCTTTTTAGAATAAAATGTATAGCCTTCTTTAAAGAAAAAGTTAGGAATTTTTACTTTAAGTTATACAGAAAAGGTTACTGATACCCAAATGATTCAATATAGAGTTTGCCTGCAAAATCCAATCAAATTTAAAAATCTGTAGACACTTAGAGACATGGTTGTTTACATAACATAATAACATAATTTTTGGAGACAACAAGGGACCTATTAGTCCTTCTTGGCTGTTCCATCCTCTCAACTAAACTAAATCTATTAAGTGAATAAATTTTAAAAAATCTTAAAGCCAGCCCTAATCATTCGTATAGTTACGAAGTTTTCACTTAAGTTTACTGCCTCCACAACATCTGAAGGCAACCCATTCCAAAGGCCAACCACTGTAACAAATCAGCCCAACCCTTATAGCTTGATGGACCTGTTTGTTTATTACATCTGTAACAAACCAGTCCAACACTTATAGTACTCAGGGACCTGGTTGTTTATTTGAGCTGTAACATACCAGTCCGACACTTATGGTACTCAGGAACCTGGTTGTTTATCTGAGCTGTAATATACCAGTCCAATCCTTATGGTACAAAAGAACACCTGGTTGTTTATTTGATCTGTAACAAACCAGTCTAACCCTTATGATACACAGGGACCTGGTTATTTATCTGAGCTGTAACATACCAGTCCAATCCTTATGGTACACAAGAACACCTGGTTGTTTATTTCATGTATAACTAACCAGTCCAACACTTATGATACTAATGGTCCTGGTTGTTCATTTGAGCTGTAACAAACCAATCAAACCCTTATGGTACTCAGGGACCTTGTTGTTTATTTCATCTGTAAAAAGCCAGTCTAACTGTTATGGTACATATGAACCTGTTTGTTTATTTCATCTGTAACAAACCTGTTCAACACTTATGGTACTCATGGTTCTGGTTGTTTTTGAGTTGTAACAAACCTGTCCAACACTTAGGGTACTCAGGTATCTAGTTATTTATTTGAGCTTTAACAAGCCAGTTCAACCCTTATGGTTGTTTCAGAATGCATCTTGATGTAAGTTGTAACAAGTAGTCTTATCTTTATGGTGATTTCAGAATTCATCTTAACACCACCTGTAACAAACCAGTCCTACCCTTATGGTGGGCACTATGCTGATGATAAAATGAGCATTACTACCAAACAGCTGGAAGTATAAAAGTTATGATGTTTATTCCTAAATAATCTTTTTTCAGTATTTCAGAAATTTAAACACCTTTTAATTTTATTTACACAAATTCTGGAAGTTTTTTGTAGGCAGATTTTAGTTGTTGTTTTTATCTTTAGTATAGAAATTAAAGCAATCATAATATCTGTTTTGAATTTGTAAGTTAACAGACTTTTAGACTAATAATGATACAGTATTTTGTATTATATTTTTATTTGATAATAATTTGGATTTTCAGAAAACTCAAGTAGAGCTGCAAAGTTTTGAAGAAACAGAAGTGAGAAAAGTAGTTCGGCATAAAGAACAGCTGCATGAAGCATGCTCCGAAGATGATCAGGCAGATCTACAGAGTTTAGTTGATGGTAAATATTTGTACTTATCTTGTTAGGAATGCCGAGTAATCTGTTTTCTAAATTTGATACATATTAAACACTGTCAGGTTTTATAGAGGCAGATTCTGTACAGTAGGTGTCTTTGACTTGCTGAAGATAAACTTCAACAATATACGGACAGCACACAATCCACTTGTTTTAAAATAATATATCCAAAACAAGTCAAATAGATGTACAAAACTTTGTTACACTATTGTTATCACAGTTGTATCCAGAATTTTGAATAATTTTCTTTTATGCCAATAGTCCACACGGACTCGTTCAGTTACTTTAGAACCCTATTGACAATACATTTTATTTTTCTCTATCTCTGTTATTACAATACAATCTGTAATTATAACACTTTAAAAGTCACCACTATACACTCTTGGTTATCACACTTGTTTCCAGAGCTTTAAATAATTGTCTCCTTTTCATCACAGTCCACATAGGTGGGTTCCATTACTTTAGAACATCCTTTGAAAAGACAAATTATCATCCTTTATTTTTGTTATTACAATACAAACTGTGAAACTCACTTCAGAAATTGCCTGGGACAGCTAAACTCCCAAGCAGGCTAATTTCATTTTTTTCCTTCACTTTCACTAACTTTTTTAACTTCTTCTCTGTATCTGCATGTATTTATAACATGTAACAGAAACTTCTAAAAGTATCTAGACCTCTAGTGACAACAATATTACACATAATGAGAAAAACTTAGAAGCTTTGAGTAAGATGACAGCAACAATATTACAAAACCTAGTACAACAATCAAACTACATACACAATGTATGATTTGTACAGAGTTATGTAACAGAACTTGTCATAACTATTACTTTTAAGTAATTAACTTTTAACACTTTTGTTATGAAAACTAAATAATCAATAAATATTAAGTCACTAAATAAACTAAATAATAACTCTTAAACTGAACAGTCTTGTGTATCCAAGACAATGTTCATATCTATTTTTTGTTCTGAGGGAACTATTTGAATTTTAGTGAATTTTGTTATATTATTTTGAAGGGTATGTTTATTTCTCTTTGCCAATTCAAGACCTAACTTTTATTATACTCACGCCAAAAGCAAACGGTGTACAACAGCTTCTACAGTCTCTACAGTTGCATACAGGTTTAGAGAATATCTAAACATTTCATCAGAAATCTTTGAATGTTAGAAGCTGTAAACAAAAACAAATATTTATACATTGTCACATCTACCACTGAAATAATCTTGTATTAGTTCTCTCATACCAGTGTGTGAACATAGCAGGGACACTGTAAATATATGAAATACTAGTGTGTGAATGTACCATAGACACTCTGTAAGTATGTTAAATACCAGTGTGTGAACATAGCATAGACACTCTGTAAGTATATTAAAATACCAATGTGTGAACATAGCAGGGACTCTCTGTAAGTATATTAAACACCAGTGTGTGAACATAGCATAGACACTCTGTAAGTACATTAAATACCAGTGTGTGAACATAGTAGGGACACTGTAAGTACATTAAATACCAGTGTGTGAATATAGCAGGGGCACTCTGTAAGTACATTAAATACCAGTGTGTGTGAACATAGCAGGGACACTCTGTAAGTACATTAAATACCAGTGATGTATAGTAGCAGGGACACCCTGTAAGTAAATTAAATACCAGTGTGTGAACATAGTAGGGACACTGTAAGTACATTGAATACCAGTGTGTGAATATACCAGGGACACTCTGTAAGTACATTAAATACCAGTGTGTGAATATAGCAGGGACACTCTGTAAGTACATTAAATACCAGTGTGTGAACATAGCATAGACACTCTATAAGTATATTAACATGCTAGTGTGTGAACATAGCAGGGGAAACCCTGTAAGTAAATTAAATACGTGTGTGTGAACATAGCAGGAACACTCTGTAAGTACATTAAATACCAGTGATGAAAAGTAGCAGGGATACTGTGTAATTACATATTTACTAAATAATAATATTGTAATGTTGTACAGCAGCAGGGACACAGTGTAAGAAAGATATGTTTGACAAAAAATATGTAAGTATATAGTTTTAAGTACTAGTATATGATAACATCATGTTTTAAACAGGATTTTGTGGTTTGACAGCAGATTACTGATATAAGTTAAACTAATATATCTCCAAGATATGAAAAGATCGTCGGTAAAGATAGGACTTTATGGTTTACTGATGTAAGTTAAAGAAATATGAATCTAAGAAATGTGTAAGGACAGGACTTTGTAGGGTAGATACTAACATAATGAAAGGCTTATGTGTAAGAACAAGACCTGGTTCATGAAGTCAAAGTTTTACAAAACAGTGCTGACAGGTTTCAGTATGTCAATAAGTCAGGCTTAAGATCAACCATAAACTAAAATGTAAGAAGAAAAATATGGTAAAAGGAAGGTGATGTTTATTTGATCCCAGAAACTGTAGGCAACATTTATCATTGAAACATAGTAAAAGTAAAAATTTATTTTATATACCTTATGTCTCAAAAGCTATAAAAACTTGGTTTAGAGAAGCCATACAATGTAATTTTTCTCAAAATTTACATTTTGCTTATGACATCTTTGTAACTTTGGAAGAAAATTACTTTTTTTTTTTTGTTAATGTATGTATTAGATCATCAAAAAATTAATGTTACATTTTGGAACACTTTCATTAACCACCCCCCAAAAACGAACATCATGTATAATAGTTAAACAAACCAC